GGCCCCTCCAGTTCCACTTCCTGAATCCCTTCTTTCAGAAGAAGGCTGACCTTTTACAAAAGAAGCATTCAAAGCCCCAAACAGGATGTAACATTCTTTCTCGCAGCCAACCCTGTTGGAATTTTTTAACTTAAAAAACTCATTTTTTTAGGGTAGCCTGAGTTAAGGTGGGTCTAAATCTTGAAAAACTCTGAACGCGCAGTAATTTCTCCCTTGGGAAATCTTTATTCGGTCCTCAAAGCATCAAAAGGGCATTTCACTTTAAGTGCTTGACTCAGAACTGGCGGAAAATAAGGGGAGGTGAGGGTGGCAGGAGGGGGACACTTAATTAGAAACAGACACACTCCAAACAACCAAATGAAGCCAGCGTTAAATAGTCAGTTGTAGAACTAAGACTAAGGATTAAGAGAAAGAGGGCGGAATAATTATTTGCCCAGACGGTAGCTACAGTCAAACGACCTAGTGTAGGGGTGCGGCGGGGAATGAAGAGAGCACATACAAAATATTTTTAAAAATTGTTCTTGGGGCGCCTGGGTGGCGCAGTCGGTTAAGCGTCCGACTTCAGCCAGGTCACGGATCTCGCGGTCCGTGAGTTCGAGCCCCGCGTCGGGCTCTGGGCTGATGGCTCAGAGCCTGGAGCCTGTTTCCCATTCTGCGTCTCCCTCTCTCTCTGCCCCTCCCCCGTTCATGCTCTGTCTCTCTCTGTCCCAAAAATAAATAAACGTTGAAAAAAAAAATTTAAAAATAAAAAAATAAAAAAAAAATTGTTCTTGACATTCCTGGGCATTTTTTTTTTTTTTTTTATTCCAGAGAGATGAAGATTTATGTCCACACCAAAAGCCCCACATGAATGGTTATAGCAGCTCTGTTCATAATAGTCCCAAACTGGAAACGACCCAGATGTCCTTCAGTAAGTGAATCTACGAACTGTAGTACAGTCGTATCTCTGCTCAACAAAATGTAAGTGACTACTGATACACAATAACCTGGAACAATCTCCAGAGAATCATGCTGAGTGGGAAAAGAAACCAGTCCTAAAATGTTACATCGGTGTGATTCCATTGATACATTTGTGAAAGGACAAATGTTTAACAACGGAGAACAGACTGGTGGTTGCGTGGAAGGTATGGCTGTAACAGAGCAGCAGGAGGGGGGTCCTGCAGGGATGGAAATGTTGAGTCCTGGTTGCATCAGTGTCCTATTCTGGATGTGATTCTGTATTACAGTTACATTACAGATGTCACCATTGGGGGACAAAGCTAAAGTGCACTGAATTCTATCTTACAACCACATGTTGAATCAATGCACAATTATCACAACATAAAAAGGTTTAACCAAAAAAACCCCACAACCAACTGCTCTCAGTAATTGTATTGGTGGCGCTATTAGTATTGCTACTCGGAGGAGTATATGTGTGTAATAGGTGATAAAGCACATGAGTTGTTATAGGATATTCTGATTCTTTGCCCCCTGATCGTTGAGTGCTGATTCTGGGTGGAAAAGATTATGACATAATATAGAATATGTTAAGTCAAAAACTGCAATCCTGAGTTGCAGTATGAACTCATGAATTATTTTTATCTACTGATACACACAGAAAAAAGGATTAACCCAGTAGTAATGAGCATTTCTAGCACATAAATTGTGGTTCTGATATATCATTTTCCACTAAAAGAAACCAGGGTTTCTTAGAGGGACTTCTGATTGCAGGTCTGAGGCAAGAAATGTACCGGATTGGGCCTGGGACAGCTTGTCAGGCCAGAGAGGGAAGAAAGGATCAAAGATTACTAGGGTTATATCAATAGGACTCAGAAGCCAACTGGAAGGGGCTTCTACTAGCCAAAGACGGGACATCTTTAAGTTTCAAAAAGGATAATGTCATTGTTAGTGTTGGGAAGTGGAAAGTGAAAGGTTTCACTAGGACTCTCAATGGTGACAGAAATCTTGAGCTTTGAAGTATAATTTTTCCTTTTTTTTTTCTTATGGCTTTTTGGGTTATGGGTCATGCTTGAAAAAATCAGTTTAAATAATGGAAGATACTCAAGCTTTTAATCCTACTTTTCCTATATGAATTTTACCACTAAACCAAAGAAAATACTTTAGTCCAACTAAGAAATGAAAATAATGTATCCAGAGGGAAATAGCATGGGATCCTCCATACACAACCAATCCTAACAGTGCCAAACACCTGGTGATAACAATGTGTCCACCACCCAGTCTGATACACTCTATTTCATCCACTGAAGACGACTGGAACTATAAAAAGCATCATCACTCCAAGTACCCCCAAGAAAACACAACCCTGAGGTGCCATCAACTGAAGATGCATTCCAACTTCAGAAATGGTCGAGACAAAAGTGACCTTTAATCAGTCAATACCCATCGCATATCCTGACAGTTTTGTTACTGCTTGCTTCTCACTTTTCAGATATACAGAGGCCAGTATTATCACCCACCCACATCACTAAAAATTAAAGCAAAATAGCACATTATAGCAATAAAGGTAAATGTGTACAACCCTCAAAATACTAGTGTGCAGCGTTTTTTTTAAACCCATATTTACCATGATACGATTGACACTCGTGATCCTCTATGGCCTGTAGCTTCATCCACCATGTCTTGTTGGGGTTTCCTGATCACACCTGTTGACATTAGCCCCTGATGACCCACAGAAGCCAGTCTTCTGCTGCAGCTGCTTTTCCTTCCACTGCCCATCGTCTTCCCCACTGTGGGTCTCAGCAGATCCTCAGCAAGAACAGTAAGGAGAGACAGTACCACCAAAGTGAAGTTTCGTAATCAGGGATTGGTCAACCTCTGCAATTATGTACAAAATATCCCATGCATACACATTTTTTATGGGATTCTGGAATTGCTGGCTATTTTCCATTTGAGTGAGTCTTGCCTGCCATCTGGCTGGCTTTGTCAAGAGTAGGCTGTAATCAATCCTGATTATTTTTCAAGATGCTTTTTCTTAATGAAACATTTTGGTGAGAGGATCATCTGTTGAGACATGATTCCAATCTTATGTAAGGCAAGGACAAGGGAGTGTCACACTGAGATAAATGGCCCTGAGTGCATGAGAGAGGAAGGAGTGAGGGATGGCAAAGTCTCTGGAGTAACCAGAAAGCTCCAATGCCAGTCAACTGTGGAGTGCAGGACTAACATCACATTAGGCATGGGCACAGCTCACTGAAAACCCATAATACTAGCATCCCTTGCTGCTTTATGTAGGAAAATATACAAGTGCTATGCAGTCAATATACCCAGATTAAAAAAAGGCAAGTAACATCCATATCTAATCCATGATCTATGGATCTATGCTGGCATCACTGAACTGGCCCATGGGCCAAATCTGGCCTGTTGTCCTTTTTTGTATGATCTATTTAAGATATATTTTACACTTCAAATATTTAAAAAAAATTAGAATATTATGTGGCACATGAAGAGGACTTAAAATTCACATCCGTGTCCATAAATAAAGTTTTACTGGAACACAACCAGACCCATTGCTTCACACGCCATCGATGGCTGCCTCTATATTACACAATGAGCAGAGCTTCCACAGAGACAGTCTGGCCCACAAAGCCTAAAATATTTGCTATCTCTGGCCCGTTACAGAAAAAGTTCACCAATGCCCTCCTCAGAACTCAGGTTTAACAAGTTCTCTGTTAACTTTGTCATAAATAAAAGATAAAATCTGGATGTGTAGCTGCAAAACATTCCATATTTATTATTCTGTTTGCCGTAGTTTCCAAAGCTGGTGCACCATACACGCACAAGAATGCAAAACAGGAACCCAGACGGATGGTCTAATGTTTCCCGTTTGCTATTTCTGGCTTTGCAATTTTCCTACATGGCATGCACGCAGGGGAGAAAAAACAACAATTACCCACCGTGCTAGATTTAAAAGCATTTAATGACATAGCATATATTTAACAGGGCAAAAGTTGAGAGGTACAGGTCATACGACTGAGTGCCAGGCCTGAGCGACCACCTCCCTGCTCTGGCCCAGCCTCTGGAGTTCATTCCTATCAATGCCATTTTGATTGTGCAGTAAGATGAAAATTTGTCATTACAATCGTTACAGTGACAAAGAAATGCACACTATGTATCAAATAGCAAGGTAATGAAGCAAATTATAACACAGTGTGGCAACACACGAGCAAGTAACCATTAGAGTAACATTACTTTGTCCAGTAAATGCTTCAGTTCCACTTGTACACTTACCAATGATTTAAAGGGTTTATTATACATCTAGTTTTATTATACTTTGTACTAGAATTATCTCAAACATACAATATAATGTATTTCAGCAAAAAAAAAAAATTGAAATTACAGATTATTTAAAACAGTATCAGTTTTCTATTCCTTCTCGTATACCGGTATACCGACATTCTTAACTGTCCTTGCAGTTGATGCAGAAAAGCCGCATGTCATGTGTTAGTAAGTGATGCCAGATACAAACGGTTTGGTCTGTAGATTTAACACGGAGCTGCACTGTGGCTGCAGCGAGATCATAATACACGATCTGTTTACTCAAGGTTAGACCCGTCGTGGGCACTTCTAATAAGTCAAGACTCAAGGTAACCACTGGAAATAAATGGAAGAGAATGGTGTCAGGAAATTGGTACATTTTGTCTCTGGTGAGCACAGGAAATATTGTTTAAGCACCGCTGCCTTGCATACCAACAGCACTAGAGGCGGGTTATTTCCAACGCAGCCTCACAAAATTGAGGAACAGTTTAAATATTGAGATCTAATCTATAGAATTTCATTAAAAAAAATCTGGTCTTCCCTCTGCACCTCAAACTTTTGTAACTTGGAGATAAAGTGTTTAGGTATATTTCCCCCACCCCCCAGAAATGCTCTATAAATAAAAAAAAAAAAAATCAACCACATTGAAGAACATTAGGCACAGAGAGTAATGTGTTGGTTCTGAGCTTGCATGCTGGAGTTTCACTGAAAAGGTAAGAGAAGGGCAGGAGGTGAAGGAAAGGAGTTCACTTCTTTTTGCCAAAAATGCTGAACCTCTTCTCCTTGTCTTTCTCTTTGTCCTTCTCCCGCTTGCCAGGGCTAGACTCGCTGGTGATGGTGACAACGCTGGTGGGCAAGGTCTGTGCCCGGCTGGATGCTGGCGTGCTCTGGGTGCTGGCGGACACCTCGTGTTTATCAGAGGAGATGGCGGAGGAGATGGCCTGGATCCATGTGTTCATTTCCTCCTGGACAAAGGAGGCACAGGTGAGACTCAAGTAAGAGAGGTGGGCTCGAAATGCTCTTGCTCCACCTGCCCCACCAGTGTGCCTCTGTTGGTAGGAAAGCTTGGGAACAGTGCATCTGGCCAACAGGGGCTCCTAGCTAACTGAGAAGCAAGCAGTTCCCAAAGAGGCCTGCGCAGAGTGAACACGGTTCAGCTCTCCTGAGAACTCGGTTTACAGTATCCTTCAGAAGTCACCATTCTAGTATGTGGACCTACAAACGTGGAGGAATGAGAAGACGGGTCTCCACTGGTGGGGGTGTCAGCTCCCACCTCTATAAATTCCTTCTTCTTTTACTTTTTTTTAAAAAAGTGAAATATATTTGATATACAAGCCTGCATAAATTTAACAGAAGTTGGTTTTTCAAATCTAAAGCACTGCCCATGTTGTGGTTCCGTCAGCAGACCTTCTCTCCCTGCAAGCAGGGGTACAAACATGGAATGGTCAGGTAGAGGTGGTGGAGTGCAGCAGGGAGGCCCTGTGACTGGACTTCAGGATCCACATCCGGTCCTGGAAACACTTCACTGTGCCTCATCCACTGCAAGGGGAGTTGGGGGGTTAGGTGGGGAGATTTTCCACTGTCAACTTCAGGGTCCTGGTACTAGCTCTCCTGACAGGCAAAGACACAGTGAGATGCCATTCACTGCCCCCTAGAGATATAAGGGGAACCAAACAGCTTCCTGTTGTTAGTGACTGTGGAGACCAGATGACAGAAGCCATGGCTGATCATTACTTCTATATGGAACACTGTAGATAAAGCTTATCATGCCAATAAATACTTGCAAATACCTAACTACAGAGAGAAATGAATCTTAAAAACTTACATCATCTTTGGCTTGGAAGAGGTACTCATTGCCATCATTTAGTCTGTAAATTGAAGGAAGAAGTCAGTCACAATTTGACTTAGGAAGAAACAAAACCCTCAATTCCCAAAACCTATGTGGATATAAGCAGGCCACTGGAATCCTACCAGAACTGCCCATCAGAGCTCTGCATACATCACCAGCTGTGCCCAGGACCCACAAAGGCCAAGCAACAGCACCTTCAACATCAAGAAGTTATATAATTGGGCCAATATAATATACACAAAACTTAATGTTTCAATCCACTGGAAGGATAAAAAATGCCCCCAAAACAATCAACATCTGGCTTTGCTGTGACAAAGGAGCACCTGAATCATTGCTCTACACTGAATTTAAGAGAAAATGCTTTAAAAATTCTAAGTCCTTTCATTACATAACCATAAAGGGAACAATCCAACAAGAAGATGTAACAATTATAAATATTTATGCACCCAACATGAAAGCACCCAAATACATAAAGCAGTTAATAATAAACATAAAGGAAGTAATCAATAGTAATATAATAACAGTAGGGGACTTTAACACACCACTTACATCAATGGACAGATCATCCAAACAGGAAATCAAGAAAAACTGGCTTGGATGACACATTAGACCAGATGGATCTAACATATTCACAACATTCCATCTTAAAACAGTAGAATACACATTCTTTTCAAGTACACATGGAACATTCTCCAGAAAAGATCACATATTAGGCCACGAAACAAATCTCAACAAATTAAAGAAGATCAAAGTCATATCATACATCATTTCCGATCACAATGCTATGAAACTAGAAATCAATCACAAGAAAAAAAACTCTAGAAGGAACACAGATACATGGAGATTAAATAACATGCTATTCAACAATTAATGTGTCAAACAAGAAATCAAAGAGGAAATGGGGGAGACAAATGAAAATGAAAACACAATGGTCCAAAATCTTTGGGATGCAGCAAGAGCTGTTCTAAGAGGGAAGTTTACAGCAATACAGAATTCACTAAACAAGGAAGAAAAATCTTAAACAACCTAATCTTACACCTAAAGGAGCTAGAAAAAGAACAAAACCCTAAACCAGTAGTAGAAGGAAGGAAATAAAAGAGCAGGAAAAAAAAAAAAAAAAAAAAAAAAAAAAAAAAAAAAAAAAAAAAAAAAAAAAAAAAAAAAAAAAAAGAAACTAAAAAAACAATATGAGAGATCAATGAAACCAGGAGTTGGTTCATTGGAAAGATCAACAAAATTGATAAATCCTTAGCCAGATTCATTAAAAAAAAAAAAGGACTCAATTAACAAAATCAGAAATAAAACATGAGAAATAACTGACACTACAGAAGCACAAAGGATTATAAAAGCATATTATGAAAACTCACATGCCAACAAAACTGGGCAACCTAGAAGAAATGGGTTAGTTCCTAGAAACATATAACGTCCAAAAATTGAATTGGGAAGAAATAGAAGATTTCAATAGACTGATTACCACCAATGAAACTGAATCAGTAATCAAAAAACTCCCCAAAACGTAAGTCCAGAACTAGATGGCTTTACAAGTGAATTCGACCAAGCACTTACTATTTTTAAAAACTTTTTAAAAGTTTATTTATTTATTTTGAGAGAGAGAGGGAGATAAGGAGACAGAAAGGGAGAGAGAGCGAGCAAGTGAGCAGGGAGGGGCAGAAAGAGGGAAAGAGAATTCCACACTGCCAGCACAGAGCCCGAAGTGGGGCTGAAACTCATGAACCATGAGATCATGACCTGAGCCGAAATCAGAAGTCTAAGTGACTGAGCCACCCAGCTGCTCCTCAACCAAACGACCAAACGTTTAAAGAAGAATTAATACCTATCCTTCTCAAACTATTGCAAAAAATAAAAGAGGAAAGATAGTTTCCAAATTCATTCTATGAGGCCAGCATGACCCTGATAGCAATACCAGATCAAGATACTACAAAAAAAGAAACTATGGGACCGTACCTCTGATGAACATAGATGTAAAATCCTCAATAAAATATTAGCAAACCGTTGGCGTACCTGGCTGGCTCAGTCAGAAGAGCACTGGACTCTTGACCTTGGGGTCGTGAGTCTGAGTCCCATGTTGGGTGCAGAGATTACTTAAATAAAAAACTTAAAAAAAATATTAGCAAACCAAATCTACAATGCATTAAAAAAAATCACTGCAATCAAGTGGGATTTATTCCTGGGTTACAAGGGTGGTTCAGTACTTGCAAATCAATCAACGGTGATACATCACATCAACAAGAAAAAGGATGAAAAACATGATTATTTCAATAGATGCAGCAAAAGCCCTCAAAAGTAGGTTTAGGGACGCCTGGCTGGCTCAGTTCGTAGTAGAGCATACAATTCTTTACTCAGGGTCGTGAGTTCAAGCCCCACGCTGGGTATGAGACCTACTTAACAAAAACAAAACCAAAACAAACAAAGTGAGAGGGAATATACCTCAACATAATAAAGGCCATCTATGAAAACCCCACAGCCAACAACATCCTCAAGGGGGAAAAACTGAGTTTTCCCCCTAAGGTCAGGAACAAGACAAGGGTGTCTACTCTTACTGCTTTTATTATTCAACATGGTACTAGAAGCCCCAGCCACAGCAATCAGACAACAAAAAGAAATAAAAGGCATCCAAATTGATAAGGAAAAAGTAAAACAGTCACTATTTGCAAATGACAACGTTATATATAGAAAACACTAAAGTTGCCACCAAAAAACTACTAGATCTGATAAACAAATTCACTAAGGTTGCAAGATATAAAAATCAATATACAAAAATATATTGCATTTCTATATATGAACAGAAGTAGCAGAAAGAAAAATTAAGAGAACAGTCCTGAGGTGCCTGGATGGCTCAGTCGGTGGAGCATGTGACTCTTGATCTCAGGGTTGTGGGTTCCAACCCCACGTTGGGTGTAGTGATTACTTAAAAATAAAATCTAATCTTTAAAAAATTTTTTAAGTTTACTTATTTTGAGAGAGAGAGAGAGAGAGAGAGCACAAGTGTGCACGTAAGCAGGGGAGGGGCAGAGAGAAGAGCCAGGCTCTGTGCCATCAATGCACAGCTTGATACGAGGCTCAAACTCACGAACCTGTGAAATCATGACCTGAGCGAGATCAAGAGTTGGATGCTTAACTGTGCCACCCAGGTGCCCCTAAAAATAAAATCTTAAGAAAAAGGTCCCATTTACAATTCCACCAAAAATAATTAAAATAGCTAGGAATAAACTTAACCGAGGGGTGTAAGACTCAGAAAACTATAAAACCCTGATGAAAGAAACTAAAGATGACATAAACAAATGGAAAGATGTTCCAGGCTCATGGACTGGGGAAAACACTGTTAAAATGTCCATACTGCACAAACCAACCTACAGATTTAATGCAATCTCTATCAAAATACCAACAGTATTTTTTCACAGAACTAGAACAAATAATCCTGAAATCTGTGTGGAACCATGAAAGACCCTGAGTAGCCAAAGAAATCTTGGAAAGCAAAAAAAACCAAACAAACAAACAAAAAAATTGAAGATATCGCAATCCCAAATTTCAAGATACATTACAAAGCTGTAGTAATCAAAACAGTATGACACAAAAATACCGGCACAAAATCAATGGAACAGAATAGAAAACCAAGAAATAAACCCGCAATTATATGGTCAATTTATCTTTGATAAAGGAGGCAAGAATATGCAATGGGAAAAAGTTCATTCAACAAATGATGTTGGGAAAACTGTACAGTAATGTGCAAAAGAATGAAACTGGACCACCTTCTTATACCATACACAAAAATAAACTCAAAATGGATTAAGGGCCTAACTATGAGACCTGAAACCATAAAAACTCTAGAAGAGAGCATAGGCACTAATTTCTCTGATATTAGCCATAGCCACATTTTTATAGAGATGTCTTCTGAGGTAATAGAAAACAAAAGCAAAAGTAAACTATTGGGACTTCATCAAAATAAAAAGCTCCTGAACAGGAAGCAAACAATAAGCAAAACTAAGAGGTAACCTATGGAATGGGAGAAGATATTTGCAAAGGACATATCCGATAAAAGGTTAGTAATCCAAAACACAGCAAGAACTTATACAACTGAACACCAAAAAACCCCAAAATAATCCAATTAAGAATGGCAAGAAGACACGAATATTTTTCCAAAGAAAACATACAGATGGACAGACACATGAAAAGACGCTCAACATCACTAGTCATCAGGGAAATACAAATCAAAATTACAGTGAGATATCACCTCACACCTGTCAGAATGGCTAAAATCAAAAGCACAAGAAACAACAAGTGTTGATGGGGATGTGAAGAAAAAGGAATCCTCACACACTGTTGGCAGGAATACAAACTGGTACAGCCACTGTGATAAACTGTATGGAGGTTTCTCAAAAAATTAAAAATAGAATTACCACATGATTCAGTAATTCCACTATTGAGTATTTAATCAAAGAAAAAGAAAACATTAATTCAAAAAGATATATGCACCCCTATGTTTACTGTAGCATTATTTACAATACCCACAGTATGGAAGCAACCCAAGTGCCCATTGATAGATGAATGTATAAAGAAGATGTGATCTATATGTATTTATACACACACACACACACACACACACACAC